CAGGACAAGGAATATAAAAAGAGCTCACTTTAGCAAATTTTCAGCAAGATACAAACACAAAGTGGTGTGTGATCATGAAACATCTTCCAGGTCCTTGAACAGGACACACAGTGAGGTCCCAGGAAGGGTGAGCTTTCTTAATATCTGGGGGGGGGGGGCGTGGATCCTGGCCCTGCTTCTGGACTTTGTGGGGGTATGGATAGAGGAAGGGTGCTGGCTTCTGCCAGAATCCCTTCCTGTTCCTCTGGAGAGGGAGGCAGGGCTGGCCCGGTTCCAGTTGCCTGAGGAGACACACTTGGCTGTCTTGAGGATCCAGAGTCCCCCACCCTAAGCTGACCAGAGTGAGGGGCCAGACCCCAGGCCGTCTTTCTCACCCTCACTCCCCTTCTCTAAGAGACCCATTGCCCATGGACAGAGCTGACTGTCCATGTTATGTGTGCTTATTTATAAGTGCCACTGGCATTTTCAAGCAACAGTGGGCAGCTGTCTCATCTGTCACCCTGTCTCCCTCTCTGTGCCTCCTGAAACTTTCTGTTCAAGGAGAGCGTTTCTGGCTGCATGGGCAGCAGTGTGAGTGGATTCTCTCTATGGCTCTCTGTCTGCCTCATGGCCAGCACATGCCCCCTTTTTCCTGCCTCTTTAGACTTCCAAATGCTAATGACTCCATCTCACCTCAGCTGCCTTGTGCTCCTAGAAGAAATGCACCAGGGCAAGCAATTCTGAGAGAATTTTCTTTCTATATTTTACTCATTCTATGGGCTTCCTATATCTTAGTTTGGGAACACTCCAGTGACTGGCTGAAATGGTTAGCAGATTCCAGGGGCTGACACCCTCAGGTCCTCTCTCAGCTCTGAGTTCTCCAATCTTCAGAACCATGGCAGGCCTGGGGTAGCTCAGTGGTAGAGCATCTTCCCAGCATGCCCGAGGCACTGGGCTCAATCCCACCAATGACCAAACAGGGAAACTGTTGGGTTTTTTGGTGCAGTTCAGAGACAAAGAGAGAAAAAGATAAAGCATTTTTTACAGGAATGGGAGGGTAGCAAATAGTGCAAGGGTTCCTCTGACCAGAACACAGAAATGGTTGGGCTTTATTAGGTCTGACTGAAGGTGAAGTTGAGGGAGGTGGGTAAAGTGACATGTTAGCAGCTGATTGGAAGAGTGTTGGTGCACACAAAAAAGAAAGAGGAATTTTACTTTAGGCCAAGAGGCAAAGGAAGTGGAGGTTGATATGCTGTTGTTTTTAGCTCCATCATGTTGGATCACCACCATGATGGCTTGGTGAATTTTATATGAGTGTAAAACCCATCATTCCCATCTTTTTTTGTTGCTATAGGGGTGATGGCTCTCTTAGACTGATTCCTGCTGAATGGGACATCATGATAGGGGCTGATAGAGTTGTTGGGATGATAGCTAATGCCCAAATAGAAGTTGATGCCAAAGGTGTCAGCCAAGATGAGAAGTCATCTGGTGGTAAAGGCTTATACCCTAGATTGGAGAAATCTCAAAAGAAGTTTAAAGACACAGGGTGCTATGGGTAGCAAAAAAATAATGGAGGTGAGAGGACCTAAAATGAGGAGGATGATAGGGGTCTAGAATCTAAAGTGAGCCACCAAGATCAGGGAGAGCAGCCAGAGGTTCAGTTTTTAACCACATTTTTGACAATATCTGATTGATTTACAAAGTGACAGTATTTTTCCCCAAACATGGGACAGGTGCCACCTCATTCAGCCAACAGGACATCAAGAACTTGGCGATTTTGGAGGACTACCACAGCCAATGAGTTGATTTGATCTTGAAGAAAGTCAATGGACTTCAGGATTCATAGATTGTTGTCTTTAGTTCATAAGACAACTGGGTGTAACAGCAGGTGCCCATCCAATACCTCCAGCAGCTAAGCCTGTACCTGTTAGGATTGGAGTGACAGGTATGGCTCTGCAGGATATTTGGTGATGTAGGGGTGAAAGTGATGTGACTTCTGGTGAAGCTATTTGGGCACTGGTGGGGGACACTCTTATCCACAACCTGAGAGAAAGTTGAGAAGGGTAGTCATATGCTGTATAGCTAATGCATAAGATAAGGAACAGAGAAAAAGATTATCCACGTATTAGAGAAATGTGCTGGGAGTGAGATCAAGAGCCACACGGTCAGCAGTAAGGGTTTGTCTGAAGGAGTGAGGACAGTCCCTGAAGCCCTGAGGTACAACTGTCCGTGTAAGCTGTGTGTCCATGTGAGCTGTGTAGATTGGAGAGTGTCTGGATCTGTCCATGCGAAAATGAAGAAATCTTGGCAATCAGGGTGTAAAGGAATAGTGAAAAATGCATTGTTATGGTCCAACACAGAAGAGTGGGAGGTAGACGTGGAGTATGAGACAGTAGAGTCCAAGGGCTTGGTAGCTCTAGGTGAATTGGCATCACCACACTCTAAGATTTTGAACTAAGCAGAGGTATTTGTAGGTAAATAATAGAATTGAGCAACAAATCTAAACTCAATAATTATATGGATCATTAGTGAAAGAGACTAAGTACTGGGAGACATGGGAAAGATCAGACAGGGAGAAAGGGACATGAACACAGACTAAGCCTTTAGGACTTTCCACCTCACAGAGAGGAAGGAGAGGTTGGAGTGAGCACCATGTTAAAGGTAGTTGAGGGGGTCACAAAGAAGGCAATGTTTGAGAGGGGCAAGGTGGTGGAGGGTGGGGGGAGCCACAAGATGGCAGCCTGGTGGGAGGAGCTGCAAGATGGCAGCAGGATGGCGGAGCAGTGTGGTGTGCTGGCTGTGGAGAAAATGGTAATGGTGGAACGGAGGAGGAAGAACAAGGGGAAGGAGTAAGGAGAGGAGGAGAAGACGGCAACAAAGAAGAACAGGAAAATTCCTGGGTATGGGTATGGTGGAGGAGCAAGGGCAGATGGGATATCATCTATAAGGTCAGTGGGGTTATCAGATGGGAGTTTTGGCAATGTGGAGGAGGCCGAGAGTTCCTGGGCCATCCCACATGCCTAAATGAGGGAGAGATGTGCCCAGAAAGCAAAAAAGCCCAGAACATAAGGAAGCTCTGACCATTTGCCATCACAGTGGGCAGAAATTATCTAGATCACAGAAGATGGCAAAACCAAAAGTGCCTCCATCTGGCCAATGGCTGCCATTATCAAGTTTATGCTGTGGCCAGGCCATTTGGCAGTAAAAAGTTAGAGGTTTTTTTTTATCTAGTAGTTTTTTGGAGACCAAGTGCCTAATTGTGTTAGCAGGCATCCCAGTGGAGTATCTTTCTAGGGGTGGGAAGGAACATTTCCCAGTGTGGTAAAATTAAAGGAGAGCCAAAGATTACAAAAGCTGAGTCATAATCCCCTGGAGAGTCATTACCCTCCACAGGACTGTGTGCAAGACAAATCCCAGTGCTTGTTCCCATGGGTCATCACTGAGAGAACAAGGGGATGGGGTCCCAAAGGACATAATTTTGAGAGAATGAAACAATGAGGCAGGAAACCTTGGGGTGAGAGGTGGCTCACCTGTGAGAACTGAGGTGGGTTGGTGTTGGGTGCAGCCTGGTACAGGCCATGGCAGGGATGAGGGAGAGCAGAAAGTTGGGACAAAAGAAAGCAGAGAGGGGGACCACCGCTGAGGGGAACTCAAACCAGGGGTAGCCCCCAGAAGCTACTCACCCCACTGATCTGAGTCATGGCACTAAAATGTTAGGCTTCTTGGGCACAGTTGAGAGATAAACAGAGAAAGGGACATAAAGAGGCCTTTGTTGCAGACACAGAAGGATCACAGAAGAGTGCAAGATAGCCTCTGACCCGAACAAAGAAGTGGCTGGGCTTTTATTAGGTCTTGACTGGGGGTGGAGTTTAGGGAGAGGGACAAAGTGCCATATTAGCAGCGGATTGGGGGATCACTGGCAAATGTGAAAAGAAAGAGGAAGTTCATTTTGGGCTGAGGGGACAAGAAAGAGGAAGTTGATATGCTATTGTTTCACCATGTTGGATCACCACCGTGACGACCTGGTGATCCAACATGGTGGCAGGAAACACAGCAGAAACAACAGTGTGTTAAGGGCTGGGGATGTAGCTCCAAGATAGAGAAGTCACGTAGTATGTGTGGGACTCCTGCTTCAACCCCCAGTAAGAGAGAACAAAACAAAATAAAACACAGGGCTCATGGGCACACACCCCTCACCCACTCCCAGTTTCATGGAGGTTCCTCTTCTGCCGTCCCCAGGACAGGGGCCTTTGCTGTGGTTTATGTGAGGCTCACTCACACAGGATGTGATCCATGAGGCAGATCTCACCAAAGGAGTCGAACAACGAAGTCGGTTGTTAACACAGCAAAACTTAAACTACGGCAAAGTGTGTCTCAGTCACTCCCGTTTCTTGCAGCCACAATTGGGGCTTCTTCCTTGGCCTCTTTTCTTGGTGGACTCGAGCCCTGATTAATTTGATTGCTCAACCCCATCTCCACCCACCTCCTCTTTCTCTTACTGTCTCAATTCAGTTTAGGTTTCTTAAAAAACACAAACAGCCCACAAGGTTTCCTGCTATACTTAGTGCGAATGAAAAATAAAGAAGTGAAGAGAACAGCTCATTAGACACAAAGACCCCTGTCCCGTTCACACAAGCCACCCACTTCTGCTGCAGGCACGCAGCACATGGGCCCCGCCCCGAGGCAGGTCCAAGCACCTCTGCGTCCATCTGCTTCCTCCGTCACCTCCCCTGCCTCTGCCTTTCACTCTTTGCCCCTTGGACCCCAAGAATGTCAGCCAAGAGCACTCCTGCTTGTTCTCCCTGCAGAGACCTGCATGGCCAGGAGCCCTGCGAACACTGAAGCAGGCGAGGAGACAACAGAGCAATAAACAAAAGGCACCCTTGGAGCTGGAAGGTTTATTTGGGAGTGCCAGGCACAAAGTCACTGCCGAGTGCCAGGACACTTCAGTGCCACTCTGCAGCAGCAGCAGGACCCTTGAAACTCACAACAAAAGACAGAGCACAAAGAAGTCTCTGCACCTAGACACCTGCATGCTGCAGCTCGTTCTCTGCCCAGAGCCTCTGGAGCTCTTCCCTGCTGGATTCGGTGGGGCACATGCCATACTTGCCCCCTGGGGATCCCATGCTGGAAGAGCAGTGTCGAAGCCAGAGGCTGCAGAGCCCATAGACAGCGGCCAGCAGGATGGCCATCAGGCCCAGGTGCCAGGAGAAGAAGGTGATGAGGAAGGCCATGTCCTCGGGTTTTTCTGCCCGCCAGGGCTGTCCGGAGGGAGGAGTGTACAGCACCACACACAGCTGTAGCAGCCAGCTGCTGAGCACCAGCAGCATCCAGGTCTTGAGCACCCAGAGTGGGGGCTGGTCAGGGACCCAGACCTCGATGTTGAGTACCAGGGCTACCAGGAAGGTGGGCACCAGGAGCAGGACGTGCACTCGGACCTCCAGAGCGCCCCTGTTCTCGATGTGGGTAGCCATCAGCAGCACCACCACATAGAAGGCCCGGGCCTCTGCCGCCCGCTCCAGCTTCACGTTCTGCCGGGCCAGACAGCTCTGGCTCACAATGTCCACCACCCCACTGAGCATGAAGAAGGAGTACATGGTGGTATGCTGCCAGTTCTTCCTGAACAAAAACGGCCGCTCAGGGGCCTCCCAGTCCACCAGCCTGGTCCGGTTTACCCCTGGAGGGTAGAAGAGCTCACTCAAGATGAGGGTGAGAGAGAAAACCACTTTCACTATTCCTTCCAGGGGTACCCACTGCCATGGGCTGTGTCCTCCTCGCTTCTCCCTCGGGGGCAGAGGCGGCTTGACCACCTTCCGTCCCCACAGCAGGGCCAGGGACAGTAGCACTGAGTAGTAGAGTGCATACAGCAGGAGGAAGACGGCTGGCAGCAAGTGTCCCTCGAGGGTTCCCATGGCTGCAGTGTCTGCGGAGTCGGACAAGACCGGGGGAACCGGCAGATGAGCAGCCGCACATGTCTGTCCTCCCGAGCCTCTGAGCTGCAGAGAGATTGTCCTGGGGCCGCACCCCGGCTGACACACAGAGGAAGGAGCCTCTGCCTCCCACTCCCGGAGCACAGCCTCCAGGAGTCACAGCTGGCGCTGCCCCTCCTTAGACCGGTGGCCTGGGTTTCTGTCTGGGCTCCTCCCTTGGGCCTCTGGCTAGCTTTCTGGCTTCTCCTGTGGGTGGAGAGGGAGAGAAGGCAGAGAGGGACAGGGAGCCGACTCTGTTAGGTGTACCAGCTGCTCCCAGGGGCATTACACACGATTCTCTGCACTCAATTCCTCAACAGCTCTGTGAGGGAAGAGTCATTACACAGATTTCACAGGTGACATTAAGGCTGAGAGTGGTGACAGCACATGCAGGAGATTACTCACTGGCCTCTCTCCCAGTTGGGCCCAGGTCTCATTCTTAAATGTGCAGTGATTACAATTTAGTACCAATCCTTTCAGGTCTTACAATTATGTGCAAGTGGCTTTGTCTACATGGATCTTGATTCTTTTTTATTTTACAATTGCTTTCTTTTTTATCAGTACATGTTCACAGTATATAAAGGTTCCATTTTTTGTTGGGAAGTTGATATATGCATGTCTTAGTTACTTTTTACTCGTTGCTGAGACAAAATACCTGAAGCTCAAAGTTGGGAAAGGAAAGGTTTATTTTTTACAGTTTTTGGAGGTTTCAGTCCATATTCAGTTGGCTCCAAGGCAGGTGGCATGGCAGAGCCACAGTTCATGGAGGCTGCAACAGCAAGGCAGAAACCAGCAAAAAAGCAAGACATGCCTTCTTCCTTCCATTACATTACATCCTGGCTCCACCCCTATGTGGGTGTAGCACTGACACCATCAATCCGAGCACTAGACAATGAACCAATCACAAATGCACAATGCATGAGGCCTGGGGGCCACTGACATAAACCATGACATTCCACCCCTGGACCCCAGGACTCATGTCCATCCTTTATGCAAAAAACATTTAGTCCATCTCCCAGAGTTGCCCAAGTCCTAACAGTTGTAGCGTTGCTAAAAAGTCCAAGTCCCAAGACTACTCCAAGATCTATGGCAAACTCTTAACTGTAACCCTCTGTACAAATGAAACAAGTTTAAACCTTTCTGAAATGCAAAGGCACAAGATAAACTTTACCATTCCAAAAGCTACAAACAGGGAAATATAAAGCATTGGAAACAAAGCAAGTCCAACATCCAGCAGGATGAACATTAAGTCCTAGAGTTTTATGCTCAGCATCTGAAGCAATCTGGTTGCAAGCTCTAAAAGGCTTGGGTGATTCCACCTCCATGGGGCTTCCAGGGATTTCAGCTCCTGCAGCATTTTTCTTGAAACTTCTCTGCTCACTTTTTGCAGCTTTCCTTGGGTCATCCACGTTCTTGGCTTTTCAAACTTCTGGGGTCTCCACTGCACCTTTGGCTTTACAAATTGCTCTCTCAGGGGCACACTGCTTGGCTTCCCAGGCCCTTTGCAATTGAGGTGGAAGCCACCTTACCCTTAGAATTTGTGTATTTTCCTTGCACCTAAAATCAGCACCATGTGGATGCCCCCAAGGTTTGCTGCTAGCTAGAGCAGTAGCCAGGCTTTTCTCTCTCTTGGCTGTCAGGGTTGATTGCCTGGATTGTTGGACTCTGTGAACCTGATTGTGAAGAAAAGCTTCTCTATGTTGTCACCATTTTGTGACCTCATGTGGCTTCTGTCACCATTCTGGAACCTCATGTGGCCTCCATCGCCATTCTGGAGCATGTTACTCTGCAGCTTTTTCTCTGAGCAAATTCTTTTACCTTTGCAGTTTTGAGGCTGCAAAGGATGGAGACCTGAGATGCTCCAGGGCCATCTTTTTTTATCTCTCTGTTTCTCTTCAGCAATCAAAGTCTCAACCCTGTCTTTACAATCCACAGCCTTCCTGGAATTTTCCTTCTGGCTAAACTCACAGCATTGCAGATTTATCGTGTTGGGCTCTTTGCTCCTGATTTGCAACATAAAGCTGGCTAAAAGCCCCCAACAATAGCCATGCCATAGCCTCAACATTTGATTGCTTTGAAATTTCCTTTTCCAGATTAATTAGTCCATTGCCCTTTATCTCAGTCTCAGGCAAAGTCTCTGGGCATGAGCAAAATGCAGACAAACCTTCTGCCAAGCCATAACACTCACGGTGGGGAGTCCAACAACCAATGCAGTCCTTCTTCCCAGAGGAATCTTCCCAAACCTGGTCTTTACCATCAGGCTTTCTATCAGTCTTCTGGTCTCCTGAGCTCTGACCAGAATCTCCTCTACAGAACAGCCTAAGCTGCTCCAGCTCTATGCATCCAGGTGACATGTCTGAACCTTTTCAAACTCTGCCCATAAGCCATTTCCAAAGCCTCTCAAAAATCATTGTCAAGTATAGTTAGGGGCTGGGGATTTAGCTCAGTGTCTTAAGTGCCTGCCTGACAAGCTCGAAGTCATGAGTTCAACCACTGGCACCAAAAAAAAAAAAGGTATAGTTACAGCAAACGACCCCACTCCCAGTACCAAATTCTGTCTTAATTACTTTTTACTCATTGCTGAGACAAAATACCTGAAGTCCAAAGTTGGGAAAGGAAAGGTTTATTTCTTACAGTTTCTAGAGGTTTTAGTCCATACTCAGTTGGCTCCAAGGCAGGGTGGCATGGCAGAGCCACAGTTCATGGTGGCTGCAAACAGCAAGGCAGAAACTGGCAAAAGAGTAAGACATGCCTTCTTCCTTCCATTACATTACATCCTGGTTCAACCCCTATGTGGGTGTAGCACTGACACCATCAATTCAAGCACTATACAATGAACCAATCACAAATGCACAATGCAAATGCATGAGGCCTGGGGGCCACCAACATAAACCATGACAATGAATAACACATCTTAAATCTTTTTTTATCCTCTTTTCTTCTCCTTTCTTTCCCTCCCCTCTTTCTGCCCTCCCTCCTTCTTTTTGTCTCTTTACCATTTATAAAAGTTGTAGCTCCCTTTTTCCTGTTACCTTTTATTCTACTCTTTAATTTACTTATACTAAGTGCCCACCTAGCTCAGTTGATAGAGCATGAGACTCTTAATTTACCTATACTTTGGGATTCTTACCTAAGAGAAGCCATGCAATGTTTAAGCATGTGTGTCTGATTTATTTCACTTAACATCAAGGTCTGGAGGTGCCTCTTTTCCTACAGAAGACTGAAGTTTATCCTTCTTTACTCCATTGTGTGTAACCATATATTCGTTATCCATTGCTATTAGACATATAGGCCACTTCCTAGACTTACTTATCATTAGTTGTGTTGGTATAAACATGGGTCAGCATGGATCACTATAAGTGATGTCTTTAACTCTTTCTGTAAGATATGAAGAAGGAACATATGGGTGTCAAATGAAATTTCCATTTTTAGTTTTTAAAGGAATCTCTGTTCTGATTTCCATATTGGTTGCACTAGTTCATATTCCCACTCACAACATAAAAGAATTTCTTGTCCCTTCCATCTTGCCAACATTTGTGCTTATTTGGTTTCTTGATGATGGCCATATTTTTCTGGAGTAAGATGGAATCTCAGTGTTGCTTTAATTTATATTTTTGTAATGGCCAGTGATTTGAACAATTTTTCATGTATTTATTGGCTCTTTAACTTCTGTTACAGTTGAATGGGTCGTGTAGGTAGTTACTGTTGATTTTCTCTACTAGAGTCAATTTTTGAATAATCCATGATGATTCTGAAAGAAACAAAAGAGCTCCAGAAGGTGTCATGTTAAACCTCAAACAGGAACCTTGTCTGGTAACTTTTCTGTGGATTTCGTCTGTATGATCAGTTGGGGTTTGGGCAGTCCCTGGGTAAGAGTAAACAAACCGTATTGTTAACTAAGATAATCACTGCGTCTGATTCATAAAAAGGCAATGGCCAAATACATCTGAGTTCGCTCTGGTTTACAAACAATTGTCTTACATGTATTTGTCTCTCTTTTCAATTTATGCTAATGCACACCTACAGCTATTTTATTTGAACTAAGCAATTTTTCTCTTTTTTGCCTCTTTTTGGGGGATTTCCATGGAAAGTTTACATAGGTTAAAATATTTATATCTATAACTTAAGATGGTTTGTGGATAAAACAAGCATCACTAAAGTTAAGGACATGCTTCCACAAAGGTTACCAAGACTGATATCAAGCCTGGTTTTACACATGCAATGCCTGTTGTCTGTGTATAGTAAATTGGGAGTCCTTCATTAGTCAAAGACAGTGTGTTAATTGTTATGATCCAGTTCTCATTGGACTTGCTTCCTCCCAGGTTTCCAGCTGATCAAAATGATGTCAAGACCCAGTCTTTGTAGGAGATGGATCCAGATCCTTAGTTCCTGAGGGCACTGACTGAGTGGGTTGCTGAGGAGGTAGTCTGTGTGGAGGAACTGACAGGAGAGGGTCCCAGCAGCATCAGCTCCTGAGAGATGACGACTTCTGTGGTACAGATCAGGCCTCTGGTAAGAAGGAAATAAAGGTGAAAGTTTTGCCCTAGAATAAACTACAGGACATGATGGTGGTGGAAGGCCAAATCGGGGATGTTTACCCTGAGGTCACCTCCTCCTTCCCCTATTACAACTTCCTTTTTCTTTTCCCAGTGCATGCAAAGAAAATTCCAATCAGCTCCTGATGTGTCATCAATGCCCTCCCTAAGCACCACCCCTGGTCAAAGGTTACCTATGTCCCATTCCTCATATTCCAGTCGAAGGAGACAGCCCAGCCGCCATGGGTTGTATGCTCCTTTCCACGTCCTCACCTCAATAAACCCGTTTGTCTTGTACTTTATTTCTCTATTGCTCCAGAAGGCTCTAACAAAAGGCTTGAACATAAGGCACCTCTGACTATTTTTCTTGCTTTGTATAGTAAAGATATAATTGAAATATGGCATTAG